AATTCATGCCGTGTCCCCCATTCTTTGCTTCAATGTGTTTAAACATGTGTATGTATACGGACTTTAGGTCTGGGCCCTTGGTCAGTTCACCATGGTGTCTCTTCCTTCGATGCATCGTTGTCTCTCCGTGGATTGCATCCACTTTCAACCGGAGCTCCAGGAGCTTAATAGCATGTTGTATCCGTACCGGTAATTGTAATCCGTGCTGATTGCTTGCTCTTGTAGTAACCCTTGATTCATGATAAATTTCAGAGAAACTTCCCGGAAAACCTTTTATGATATCTGCCCTCGGCCCATTGTTCATTTGCTAGGGAATCCCGTCATTGTCCATTTTTTTTTTAAAAAAAAAAGATTTCCCCACCTCGGCCATGCTTACCATAGCATTCGAGCGATGTTCATTAGTTCTCCACCAAAACAGCTCACAAGATCGTGTGGAACATAGGGTCACTTAGTAAAAATATTTCTTTTTCAAAACTATATGATTTCCATACCCATACCCAGGTTGCCGACATAGCTGCACAGGGGGCATAGCATGCGACATGACTCAATACAAGGAATCTTGCATTAATGATGGCCCCGGTAAGAAGCCAAGAGGGAGTGTGTTCCATTCACGGCACCCTATAGAAGCATGGTAAAAACAGGCGTTTGGGTGACAGACAGCGAATTGTGTAGGTAGATAGCAAGATGGCGCAGGGGGGGAGAGAGATGGTTTGGCTTTCTACTGTAGTTGACCAAAAGCACCTTGTCGCAGCAAAATATTTGCTATCTTCACTGAGGATATCACCTTGCTAAGCCCTCTCGAAAGCTACCTACGAGCACTACCAGACCTTTCTCCCTTCGAGCAAACATACCCTTATCCTACAAGTTTGTCTCTCTGGATAAACCTATACCCCCACTCTGCCTGTTCGTCCCTCTGAAAACAAAAACAAAATATTCTTATCCCATAAGTTTACCCCTTTGAAATAAATACACCGTCATCCTGCAAGTTTCCCCTGCTCATAAAACATACCCTGGGCTTGAAAGTTGCCCCCGCTGCGGAAACACCCTTGCCTGGCTCGTTTCTCCCACGGGAAAAACATACCCTTATCCAGCATGTTTTGTCATTCTGGAGAAAAGCATACCCTCATCCTGCCAGTTCGTCGGTCCGGAAAATAAGGAAAAAACCCTTTAGCCCGCAAGTTTATCCCTTTGTCCGAATCACACCCTTATCCCGCAAGTTTCTCCTGCTAAAAAAAGATATCCTTAGCCCGCAGTTCTCGCTACAGACACGCACCCTTGCCCGGCAAATTTCTCTGGCCAGCAAGAAATACCCTTAGCCTCCAAGAACCCCCGGCACTATGCAACCCTACATTTGCTCCACAGGATAGGGTATTCTAACTCCTAAGAGGTTCTTCTAGTTAAGCGGCTATGATTCTATATTCTATTGGCTAAGCAAGTCACGGTTTGACTCATTGACAATCTCTAGAAAGTTTAGCTCGGCAACCTTAGCTCGGCAACCTTCTCGCACACAATGACATGAGGCCTGATATGCCGGGAGACGTCGGCAAGACACCAATACACAGGGCAGTTTGTGGGGGGTTCAGCTTGATTGTTGGTCGTTGGTTCAGCGACCTCTTGGTTGGCAGCCTGGAGAACTGTCAATGCAGGTCACTATACTAGGTGTTGATGCGGGATCTAAATAGGTTATGCGGCTACTATCACAACGGATCGTGGCAAGGTTAACCTAGCTGAACGGAGGGGCCAGGGGACGGTTTACATCACCGCATGCACCGGGATGGAGGGTGCCATGTGAATCCCGTTACCGGACCGAAGGGTCGAAGTTGACTACATGGACGATTAGAGGCAGACACCGTTATGGTGGGCCACGAGGGAGCCGTGCGGCCTTTGCTCGGGGCTGCTAGGGTCTATGTCGATCAGCGCATCAATCGAGGTAAGAAAAGCCTATGACTAGGGGAATGGGGCGATAATGCAGATATTTCTCAGTCATGAGAGGATTCTGGATCTCCGCGCGAACGATGTGACGACCTGACTATATTGGGCTACGGTGAAGGCACATGATTTAGCCGTACTTCTTCTGCTTGGTGATCCAACAAGCCCGCCCTTGTTATGGGTGCGGTACCACGATTGAGGGGTACAAGTCCACAATCTTGATCAGGGCAAGGGGATACTGGCGGTTAGGGGGCGAAAGGGCATTTGGCTTGCTTAAGTTATTTCGTACTGTAGTAAGCCCATCCACAAGCATTTAATCACCATAGCAGGCCAGGCCTTAAATCGATCGTGTTTCTTTATCCTGAGTCACTTGTATAACATAATAGGGGTTCTCTTGTATTATAGTCCAAAAGGTCGCTTGATAGCCGACGAAACAAGACCAACAACTCCAGATGTACTTTTTGGATTTGATTCCACAGGCAAGCCATCTATAATATCTACCTCTTGGGCATAGGGGGAGATAAGTTATTACTAAACCCACCCCATCACAGCCGTAACCCATGAGCAATTACAAGACCTAAACCTGTGGTACCGGCTTTCGTTGCCCACTTTACGCCGCACGTGTTATAGATCCTACTAGAAACCATTGAACTTCCCACGCTTCCTACAACCTCAACTACAAACGATCTCAAAATGTTCCTCTATGGTGGAAGCAACCTGGTACCTCCCCTTCCCCCTGCCCAGCCAAACACAACTCAAACTACCTACTCCGAACTTGGGCCTAGTGGTAGCCGGCCGTGGCCCCTGCGGTAAAAAATGGTGCATGTGAGATGCGGGCCGCCGGCAGATGCAGCAATCGGTGACATTACAAGGTGGATAGTGGCGGGGACTGTAATTTTGTCCGGGAGGCTGCTGCCTCCCCACCACCCAAAGGGACAGCAGTTCCGGCACCTACCGGGCCAGGAGGGGCGGTCTCTAGATTGTTTTCAAAGAATGGTAGGACCCTTTTAACAATCATAGCACCCTGGAGGATTACGAGGTTAGTAAAGTGACTTTTTGGGAGATATGGGTTTCTTCTACCTTTCTTTCCCTCTTTCCCCGAAGTCCTCTTGGGTTAGCTGATGGGTCAGTTTCAGGCAATATTGTTATTCAGTTGTGGTCAAAAGGGAGGGTATGGATAGGCGTGTAGGGGACTTGCTGGGGAGCCCCCGGGGTGGATGGATGAAGAATTAATGTGAGGCTCGAGAGAATACTTCATCGGCGAGGTTTCGTGCGATCGGTGGTAACTGTGGTAGGGTTTACCTACCTCTGGTTTCTCTCTATTTTTATGGTACGGTTGGAATTGAGGTATTTTGCTCAGGTTTCAGAAGCCATTTGAGTGAGAATCCACAGGGATCTCGGGGTGGTCTGAGAACAATGTTTGGAGGGCAAAATTCATAAGATGGCCTGCTGATAATGAATTGACATTGATCAAGACTAGGGCCACCAGGCAGCATCTATATTGATGGCATATTCTCAGACACAAGATCTAGCATTCCTAGCTCTCCGATGATAATGTAACATAGTTCGTTGACCAATAATGGCCTCATAGTATGGAAAACCCATTTCGGAATTTTGGTTCCAACTCTTGTGTTGTCCTTCACTTGTCCCTCATTCAGTCCTAGCATTGGTATGGATACACCCCCCAGGGCCTGGCCGTTCGTCGGCTCGTCAAGCTGCATCCTCCTGCGATGAATTTGCATCTCTCTATAGACAGCACCGACTTTCAATGACCTCTGCAGGGCCCTAGTGACATGTTGTATCAGTCCTTGTAATCCGTGCTGATTGCTTGCTCATTCAATAACTCTTAGTATATCCTAGATCTCCAAGAAACTTCCCAGAATACTTTTTATGACATCTGTCCTCAGCCCATAATTCATTTCTTAGGGAATACAGTCATAGTCTGGTTTTTTTATTTTTTTCTTTGTGAGAAATATTTCTGCATGTCGGCCACACTTACCCATGCTTTACACCGATATGCATTAGTTCTCTACCCAAAACAACTCACAAGATCCCTCAGAACGAGGGTCTCCCGACAACTTGAAACGAGTTCTTCCTACTCCAATTGTTGGCCACGCGCATACCTGCGTTGCCAACATAGCTAGCCACCGGGTATAGTTTCCGGTGCAACTTCACCCGAAGAATTGTGCCTCGCTTATGGTCCCGGTAAGTGGACAGAGGTTCCGTGTTCCGTACTTGCCACTCCCTGGCAGGGCAGTATAAACAGGCACGGCAGTCACAGGAAGCGAGTTGTTTGCGTTGACTGTGAGATTGGACCGTGTGGGAAGGTATCCTTTGGCTAAGTCCTCTGACAACCTCCCAACAAGGTCCACGATACCTTTCATCCTTTGAACCTACCTACTCTTACCTTCAAGTTCAACTCAGCCGAAGAAAGCATATCTTCACCCTATCATTTTGTCCCTCCGGAAAAAAAAATTACGCTTCGACTGTAAGTTTCTCCCTTCCCAACAAACATACCTTGATCCATGAAGTCACTCTTTCTAAAAGGAGGGTACCTTTAGCCCGAAAGTTGGACCGACTCCCGAAACGTACCCTTACCCAGCTGTTTTCTCCTGCCAAAAAAAGATTACTTTATCCTCTGCGAACCCCCGGACACACACAACCCTAAATTTACTCAACAAGGCAAGATTATCGGACTTCCGCGAGCTGGGTTTGGTCGAGTGGAGTTATCGTGCTGTATTTGGTTAACCATGCAAGTCACAGGCTAACTCATTAGCTATCCCTAGAAAGTCGAATACGGCAAGCTGCCCTACTGCGCCCGTCTATATAAACCATGGATTGTACCTACCCATAATTCAATGCTTCTTTTCCTATGCTAACTTCCTACATCAGTACTCCGTACCTACAAGTTCAAAGTTGAGGAGAGTGAGCATATCGAGAACGCGAATCAGCACCGTGGTCGAAGTCCACAACGTCCACCCATCCCCGCCCCCCAACCACCTCACAATACTATCCCCCCCGTAGGAATGACGTCTACAGCAAGCTGCGCTGTGTGTCCCCGCCCTCCTATCTCCGCCATGGAGGCCAATCTCTACTATTATGGCCTATACTCGAGGCCTGTCCTGGTTGCTCGTACCAGTACAACTCTCTGGAAGCCCCCTGTCTGTCCCCCAGGATACCCCTCTGCCAAATGGCTTCGTACGGTCGGCAATCATCCTCTTGGTAACATCTGGGAGAGCAATCTGGCTCCGGAGATCCACAAAATCCTGGAGTCCAGGGGGGTGAAGTGGACAAGTACAGATGTGGCCCGCATTGGATTGGTTGGAGAATTGCTCCCCCCGGTTATCGTCTGGATTGGTGTGCAGCCTGGTACTCTTTCAAAAGAAGATGGCCATACAGTTGCTCTAGCCTGCAAGGGTCTTTTGCTGGAACACCAGATCCTTGATGTTGAAGTTGAGATCCGTGAGTCCATAGTAACTCAATATTCGGGCCCAAAGTTTCTCAAGCCCGCCACACCTAATGACCCTACGGCAGAGCTCCGACAGCCTCTTACATCTACTCTGGGCCTGTCCATCTGTGTTACCCGTACCGTTTGGGCTGAGGGAACCGGTGGATTTTATCTAACTGATAATAACTCCAAACTGTACCTGGTTACTGCACGTCATGTCGTCATCCCATCCGACTCCGATATCACGCCCTATGTGCACAAGGTCTCTAGCCAGCGTTTGAACAAAATCGCCCTCTTCAGTCCCATCAGCTACAAGGATTATGTTAAACGGATTGAGACTGCTATTGCAGACCAGGGAGGAATTATTGAGTACCAGAAGAGGGTGGTCCAGGAGGTTTGTGAGAGCGGTGAAGGTGGGGAGATAGAGTCTGAGGAGAGGATAAAGGAGCGGGCATATCAGGAGAATATTCTGAAGAAGGTCGAGGCTGCCTTGGAGGCCCTTAAGAAACTCTGCAACCAGGTTGCTAAGTGTTGGGGGAACATCGAAGACCGCATCATTGGAGATCTCATCTTCTCTCCAGCACTAGAATATGGTGCAGGTTCTAAGCGGTATACACAAGACTACGCTCTTATTGAGGTTGATCAATCCAAGATTGATATTGCCAGCTTTACTGGTAATGTGGTTGATCTAGGTACTGAGATAGCACCTGGAAAATTCAAACGCATGATGTTCCCACATCCCGAGAATACCCACTCCTTTACATATCCAACCAACCGCCTGTTCCAGATCCGAGGAACAATCCCAGATGCCGACATGCGTCGTCCTACGATAAAGGATCAGAATGGTGAACGGTGTCTTCTTGTCCTAAAGCGCGGCCATACCACAGGTCTCACTATCGGTCGTGCAAACACTATATCATCTTATGTACGTTATTATGATGAGAAGGGCAAGGGAGTAACCTCGATGGAATGGCCAGTTTTTAATTATGACGACAAGAGTGGTCCCTTCTCTAAGAAGGGGGACTCAGGCGCTGCGATCGTTGACTGCCAGGGACGCCTCGGGGGTCTCCTTACTGGTGGGGCGGGTCCCACTGATCGCTGTGATGTTACGTATGCCACACCAATCTCGTTCATCCTCGAAAGCCTCCGGTCCAACAACTACAATCTTAGCCTTTATACAACGACTACTGCCTGGGCGTCCTCCTCCTAAATTGTGGTAGTCAAGAACAGGTAGGAATCTAGTTCCTTTCATTTCATTTCATTTTTGCATCCAGCCTGTGGACTAAGATGAAATCTGACTAGTTTCATTAGGATACTCCTATGTTGTGCATACTTGTAATTTTCTCTTCTATTGGAACCAGATAATAGTACTCTGGATGCTCGTCCTTGTCTTTTACTGAGATTCTCTTCTATCTCCCCTCCTTCTTATCCAATTCCCTATCCGTTCCAGACCCGACTCCACCCTCACACCCTGCTCAATCCCCATATGTCTTCTCCACGTTTTTTACCTTCTGATATGCAGCCTGTGAAATATCACAGTTTTGTGAGTGATGATATTTTTGCTCTTCTTGTTTCTCACCTTTTGCTTGTTTCTTTTCTCTATCCTTCCAAATATCGTCAAGCTTGGCTTTCCCTTCCTTTTATTCTTTTTGTGAGTTTCTGTATTTACTTTGCTATCGCCATAAGGTATATTGGGTTACTTGCCAACCCCCTCAGCTTTCTCAATTATCTCATCCTCCTGCCCAGTGACAGCAATGGAAATCATAGGCCTGGAAGCATCCCCTACCTCATCTCCATTAATCTGTTGGGTGTGTGAAGGGTCCCCAAGATCCTTGATCTCTCCAGTGATGTTTTCCACATCCGAGCAAAGTTAATCCTCATCATCAGAGAGATCCTACTTGTCACTGTGCCTACTATTGAGTTGTGTTAACTCGTCCCACAAAAACGTACTATGCGGCACAGAAAAAAACTCGCCCCACAGACCCCGGTGCAATCCACGGACATTGGCGGAACGCAGCTAGGCCAAGCGAGCCAAGTAACTTTTGTGTTCTTGCTACCCACATTAGTTTATCTTCCCCTGACATTAATACAACTAAACGCTATCCAAAATTGTTTACCTCTGCACTCTTCCGTTGCGATTTGGTGGATTTTGGAAAAAAAGAAAAACCACATCGGGTGGGGGTGGTGTAGTGCCCAAAGAGCATTGGAAAAGGACATCAGTTAACAGATCCGTGGCTAAGGGGCACATAGTGGTAGCTTTGCCACACCTCCGAAAGACTACACTTAGCAACCGCTTTACTACCAACCAAAGCGCTTGTTGATAAATTAGACATTATTTCAGCCAGCGATTCAACTTGATGAAAGATATCGCTGGGCGAGACACTATCCGGGTCTATTGCCGATAGAATAGCGAGAGTGTAACGGTAGATACCTGCTCTATCGCATATCTTTCAAGTATCCTGTCACCGGCACCGCCCTCCATTGCCGCCTCATATTGTGAAGTTCCGCTCTAGCCAGCGATATCTTTGGCTTCGCTGGGAGGGGCACTGTATTGGAATGCGGGTCTGATTTGCGATTGGAAGGGTCCTCCTAAATTTTGTCTTGGGTTTCCTAAGGGGCATTTATTGTACTCACCAATTGAGGAAGGGTGTGTTTCCTCGAATGGGTTAACCGAAAGGGCTCTCTTTCCCCCTTCGCTTTTCTGAAGGTTCTGCGTGTTGCCGTTGTATTTTTGCACTTTTTGGTCGGGCTCAACTGTCCATTGGATCTTACCACCCTATCTCCTTGCGCAGTAGTCACTGCTGTTAACCACGATGATCACGCTGCGATTCACCGATTGATTAACGACATCTCCGGTGAAATTCCAGGCGCCTCTCCCTCCCGTTGCTGGCACTACTTGGATGGTAGCGCTGTTCACAAGTTTGTTGCACCTTCAAAATCGCATTTTACCTCCCATCCCTCCTATCTCATATCGCCCTCTAATAATTTCATAGCAGCCCACCAACACGATCAAAGAAAACGGGTTTCCTCCGCCGCGAACCTGGCCGCACCTGGCGATCCGCATGTCCGACGAAGCAGCCTTTGGACCGTCACAACGAAGTGAAAGCATCTCAATATACGCGGGGGCTGCCCAATTCCAGGGTGTGATAAGGTCGTAGAGAAAGGGATTAAAAGGAAGTATAATCTTCCCGCTCATGGGTGGAGTAAACATGGGGTCAGGTTGCCCCGACAGTCCAGGGGTAATTAACCGAGGGCATTGCGAATACGGAATGCCGCTGGTGTTTACTAGAGTACGGTGGTCAGACCTTGATGGCAAAAGTATGATGTTTCCGGTCAATCTGTAGTGTTGGTGAGATGTGTACCCGGATGTTTATTTGATATTTTTTATCTATCTCTCCCACCCCCCAGTTAGCTTTGGGGTCTTGCTTTAATGATATTTGACCTCTATCTCGCTCAAGACATTCTAGGAATTGGGTATAAGAATTGACGACTTCTTTGAAAAAGAATAGTTAACCCCTGAAGAGAGTTAGGGGAGGTGCGTTTTGTCTACGATTAGGAGCAAGATGTTTACCTCGGTTCTTTTGGTTTCGGGTATCACCTCACCCTACGGAAATCCATAACAATACCTCTGGTAACTTAACCATAAGCCTGAGCAGAGGGCTCCAGATTTCTGTCGGCAGCTTCACAGAATTCTACGGCAATTAGCGAATGAACTACCCGACAGTAGATAGCATTTCCGTCCTGCATTGTTTCCTTGAACTTGTACTGTACTAGAAGTTATTAAATTGGACTAAGGAAGTGCCGTGCTCTCGGAGGGAAGTTTCCAGGGAGATGTAAATGGCTGGTATACCTGTGTGTAAGATACAGCCCAAGAGCCGTTACAACTGAAGCGGGTGCTAAACGCAATGCTTGCTATCATATCACGGCCAATCTATCCTTGGGCAGGTAATTCGTGCGCCCCAGGCCCCTGTAGGTAGTTCATCCAAATGGGGCGTCCTTCAGTTAACCCAAAGTCTACAGCATATACTCGAGTATAATCTTCAGACCACATGCTTCCCTTTCTCTCTTAGCTACATTTGGACACAAAAGAAGCAACTATCTGTGGAATAATCTGCATTGTTTGACAGATTTGTGTTGACATGATTTCGTGCTAGGACAAAGCTAACCACCCTCTCATGCCCAAGATGGTATTGCAAATCACCCGTCCTCCAAGTAATAGTTCTACCCTGTGCATCACATTTAGTGGTCCGGAGATATTTCCGGAGGTGTTAAGAATTTGTAATGCTTAGAAGCAAGTGAATAAGCAAGATGGAATGTTCTGGGGGATGTTTTCTGATAGATGGATTCTGGACCAGCATTGTGAGACAAGGAATGTGTGCCCACCAGGAGGCACTGGATAAAGTGATTGGCTAGGAAAGCGGGGTAGAAGGAAGTCTTTGGAATCATGAAGAATAAAAGGAAGAGGTATGAGCATGACAAAGGAAAGCAGTCTGGAAGGTTGGAAAGAAAGAAGCTATCTTATGGATGTATATAAAGTTGAGGTTTCACCGGAGAAGTGTAAGATGGGAAGCAGTGAAGAAAAGAAGTCATCGGAGAGAAAGTCAGAATCGAGTTCGGCCGGTCAGAAATACGAAAGCTTCCAGTGCGCAGAAGATACAATATGCGATCTCTATTTTCATTAGATGGGTAGTGCACCAGAGTGGTATTCTCCGCATTGGTGGGTAACATACAGGGCCTTGGGGTTTACAACCGTACGTGGCAGTGAGAGTGAAAGACGTCTGTCTTGAGGTAGGACGCGGGGCCGTACTGGGTAAAACAGTGTTGGTAAGGGGGACGGTGAGGCAGTGCGGGGAACACCAGATTATATCATACTACCAACAACCGCAGAATGGCTGAAACCTTGTGCCTGAAATGGTTATGTGGGGTCTGACCCTGGACGAAGCTTACCGATTGCCAGAGCCGCCTAAGTGACAACGTTATTGCAGCTATTACATGTACGAAATATTCGATAAAAGCAGGCTTGATGATGGAAGAGAGACTTTCGGAGGTATAGGAGATGGTAAGTTATTCAGTATATCCTGCAATTCATGGATCAGAAGAGGGGTTCTGCAGTTATAGCAGTTTCTGGTGAGACTGATACGTAGCCTGATGCTAGCATAAGGCCAATGGCTCCCTAGTATTACTTTATCCATGAAGACCTACAATCTATGAATAATTAGCAAACAGGGCATAGGCACAGTACTCGCCAGACATCACCAAGAAGAGTCTGGTATCATACCACCCAGAATTTAAGATAAGTTATGGTCTGTCGGCCCGTCCTTGGTTGAGCTTACGACGGTCGATCCATTGACCTAGTCTCACGCGCAGCTGTGGCAGCCCACTGCCCGTCGGCTAGCGCTAGTGCCCTCTAGGATCTAGGATCAACGAATTGGACACTTGGATATGATACCTTGAACGGCACCTGCTAGTCTGAATTGCAGCAACGGCTAATCTAATTTTCCGGCTCTACAAGCCCACGTCTCGGATTTGGATTCGAGGTTTGCAGGTCGGCCTATACAGGTCCACATGTGGGCCCTAGTAACTTTACGGCAGTTTAAGGTAGGGAACTTATCATGTCAAAGGTAGCTGACCCTAGCAACTCTACTCTTACAACCTAAGATGATAATCAGCACAAGGTAGTGACAACAGCTCTGTGTTACGTATTATGTCAAGAGAATTAATTAACCAAAGTCAATGGAGAGCAGTAACAGTTCAGAATGCCTTACACTACCCACAGCGAGAGGAGGAACCCTAACCCTGATACTCAAAACACTGCTATTGAGTATCAGGGTCAGGGTTCTTTGACCGTGTTTCTGGTAAGACCTTAGGCTCCGTTCGGCGGGAGCGGAACCGTTTGAGACCGTTCAGTTTTCTCATACAAAACGACAGTTACGAAACAGAATGGTTATGGAATTTGTATGGGGAACGGAACGGAACGGAACGGAACGGAACGGAACGGAACGGAACGGAACGGAAAGGAACGGAACGGACGCGAATGGTCCCATCCGAACAGACCCTTAGTGATTCTGCAACTGCGCTATATCCATTACAAGTATTCACCTGTGTGTACCCCACAGTCTCATGATTACCAGAGGGAGAATCTTCTAGTTATGATATCCAAATGCTTATTTTCTTAAATTGTACCTTATCTTGCCCTAGACAGGGATAAGTGCAGAAAATATTTAACCACGAATCAGGCTACAAATATCGCAACAACACTAACGCAGACCCACGAAAACCCCAGTTCCCTGTGTCTGGGTTAGGGTTTGTTTGAAGCCTGGGCATAATGTGAGGCTTCCACTAAATGTAGGCCAAGAGAATGGAAACGAAGGGCGATGAGAGGTCAGTGGACTATTCTGCATTATCACCACCAGTGATCGTATTGTATCGTATCCAACATGATTTTCAGGGAGGCCATGCAGAGTGCCCAACCTTCCAGTCTGTCTGTCTTTAGGGAAGCATATGCCAAACTATCTTTGAAATAGGCTATGATTGTGTGGGAATGGCTTGTGGGCCTTGTTCTCTCTACCATACCGGAGGTGTCCCCGATATACACAATTATCTCTTCTGAGAAAATAAAAACTTCTCCAAGTGTGTTGGACTGTCTTTCACTCTGCTTCCATGCCCAACACCCACAGTTTGCTCCCAGCTCTGCCATTAGTTGAAGACATTTTCAGCAATAGTTGCGACCATACTCCCCAATTTGTTCCACCATTTCCCTAGTCCGACACAAGCCGGTATCACCATGTTTCAAACTCAACTAAAGTTTAGCATCCAACACTAACCAATGAAACCACCAAAATTCTTGTGTTTCTCCATTCACCTAAACTAATAGATACATCCCTATTCCAAACACAATGACACATTTTTCTGACAACATGCAATCATGGACCACAGCACTTCCCACCTGCCTTCTGATACCTCTTTGCGACCTGGAACCGTTTCGCTAACTATGCAATGGAAGGTTCGTGAATTTCAACAGTGAGGTAGTAAAGGGGTGTTTTTTGGGGGGGCGGATATCCCAATTATTTTTTAATTTTCCCCACGGTACCTTACCACAGGGTTTTTCCTTAGCCCGTGTGTCCATGGGGAATCAGGAATTGCCCCTTGCATTACTAATTTTAAATAAAGTACCACCCGATTGGAAGGATCGCGCTGAATTTTCTGTAAAAAATCCGAGTATGTGCGAGCAACACAGCCGTAACGGACCACTAGACTTCCGGCGGACTGTAGAGGCCATTTCCTAATCACTAGTATGCGGGAAGCCGCGGAGCACAGAACGAATATTTATTTCAGGCCTGCGTCTCGGGCCCCTCCCTATCGTGAGCACAGCGGTGGAGAGAGGAAGGAAGGGAACCACTCGTTGTATTTCCTAGCTACCGCCGTTGCTTTACTCGAGTATTTTATGTATGATACTATATAGAGCCAAGGTTGTTGCTAGACAGCCGCAACCTTGGCACGAGTAACCAATATCATAGCCGGCTGCGCTAAAACGCCCCCCCCCAGTGGCCCTATGATAAACAATACACATTGAGCCCCATCTGCCAGATTTATGGACCTCAAAATCCTCCAATGCATGGGTCGAGCTCGGGGAATAATTGCCTGACTGAAAGGGAGATTCCAGGATCATCGTCACTCAGATAATAAACTATGCCCAATAAGTGCTACAAGAGAAAAATGGTTGTCTCAATTGCTGGTTCATCATGGAGGAGAGTTAGGGCAAACAGGGTAGAAAGGTGTTCCCTAGGTGGGCCTGGAGTCCTGAGGTTTTATTTTAAATCCAAGTACCAAAGTATCAGAGGATTATGATACAGCTCTTAGGCGCGGGTGAGCCCCCTCGTTGTGATAGCGGCAACCCCATAGGGAAGCCGGGGGGCCCGAGAGGTTTGCAGTTTCGGCGGGTAACTAGGCCATAACCCTTAGCGGATGGGACCCGGCCCAAGGAGCATGGGCCTCACCTCCCAAAAGGAGAGCCCAGCAAACCCAGAGAAGCCCCGATCCATCGGAAGTCCCAGGCTGGTGCCAAGCCTCTCCCAGCACATCACCACCAAAGAGAGACCCACTACGACCCCCCTGTGCGGGTATTGAATCTTCCTTTGAGATCTGGCAAATTAGACTTCTTTCTAATTTCGCATAAGTAACTCTGGAGGTTTTCCTCCTCATTGCGTCCTGAAAAGGGGCTTGGAAAGGAGTGAGAGAACCATGTATGGAGTGCTTGTAGGTTTACCATACAAACCGATTCCGGGAGATATGATCTGGGTAAGAGTTCTCCGGTCGGGAAAGCCATGCTTACTGTCCGCCCGTTATTAGCTAAGGAAATTAATAAGAATCCAAGCTGTCTCTAGCTTGAATCTCGATCTCATCAGACTTCCGAAAGAAAATTTCTACAGAGGAGCAACTGCCCAGATTTGGC